AGGGGGGGGGGGCTGTTGTGTACTTTAAAAAAAAATCTTTTTCAGTCAGCAGATTTTATCTAGGGTGCCATCTATTGTCTAGGAAAGCTTTGGTTCGAATTTCCAATGGAGCATTCTTAAACATGAGTTGTTTAAGGTTTCAAACTGGGAGGTCACAACTCTATAATAACCTTCCATGGGTGATTGGTGGGTGCTTTAGTGTGGTTGACTCCTTCATTCCGATCAAATATCTATCACTCTTATCTCTCCTCCTTCTTTTCTTTGAATATTAATCTTTTGTAAACCTCAATCTTCGGCTCTCGTCTGATATAATTGTGTTGCAAATGCAGTAAAACTTTAATTGAAACAAAAACCCTGCCCGTCCATACTGTTTGGCTTTTGATAGATTCTGTCCGTCTGTCCGTCCGTCCGTCCGTCTGTCCATCTGTCTGTCTGTCTGTCTGTCTGTCTGTCTGTCTGTCAGTCAGTCATTTCCATGCACTGTATAGCTGTTACTGCGTTGACGGGCTTGTTTTTACTCAGACAAACAAACTGTCCCCGTAGTTTTATGCACCCCGCATAATTATCAAAATTTGATTGATTTTTGCATAATTTCTGATTATTTTTTTTTATCATTCTTTGTTCAAATTAACAGAATCGCATAATTTCACATTTTTGGGCTCAGTTTGCATACATCTAATTTCAGAATTTTTTTTGCATAAAACCGCGGGGACAGAACAAACAGTCTCTCTCCTCATAAATGTAAATTATCACCATCGTCTGGTCACTCTAGCTGTGTTCATAACTTGCTGAAAATGGTGAAATGGTATAGGTTTAACGCCCTTATCAACACTATTAGGTTCTTTAAGAAGCGGGACCTCCGAATTCAACTTTCATCTATGAAAGGACAGAACCAAGTGGGAAATTTATGTAAAGTGCCTTCCCAAGGCAACAACGTTGGATTGAGCTGAGCCACGAACCCCCGAACCCGCAACCTCACGATTACGAGTCGGGTAGCCTAACCACTTAGCTACTGATGCCTTCTTTCATCCATTGGTGCCCTACGTGTTCCCACAACAGGCCTCCCATCTCCCCCAGTCTCTGCTTTGATGAATATTTCACATAAAAGTAAATGTCAAACAATGTTTATGTCAGAATTCACAATTGATCTATTTTTCTTCTCTTCCAGATGGTTCAACAAACCAGATCCAAATGATAACCGCAAAAACCCGTCGTTGCACGGGTAAGAATTTCGGTGGTGTTTTGTTTTCTTTTTTGTTTTCTTTTGTACTCTTACTTTTAGAGTTTTACCCATTTTAAAAATTTTTTTTAAGTTCACGATTTGAGTCCCCCAGTGTGATGTGTTCCAGTTCAGTAGCACCCCTTTTAGTATTTCACTAATGACTTATATTCGCTAATTTCTTTTAAAATTGAGAGAATTGTGAATTCTAGTCTTTAGCGAAAACAACCAAACAACCCAGTATATGTTGATGGACCATTATTGTGGGAATGTGCTTCTCTTTTCTCACACAATCAAACAAACAAACCTGTCCTCAGAGCCCGAATCAAGTCAGCCTTCGGTCTCCGTCTTGTGGAGCTCCGCACTGACCCTGAGGGCTCGGTGTTCCACCACTGGGAGTTCCTGAGCCAGACGCCGCCCACCGAGTTCACTCTGCGGAGGTCAAAGGTCAGCAACATGCCAGCAGACGTTAGCAGCATCACCGTCATGGCTGAGGACAGCTACGGCAACATCATGAAGAAACGGTTCAAAGTGGACGTCTTCGTGTGATCTCAGACCTCTCCGGGGCTCTATGAGGACCCATCGGCCAAATAGGACCCCATAAGTCGTACCACAAGCCTGCCTAATGCTCGAGGCACTTAGAAGGAGACATTGGCCCAACTCTAAGCTCCAGAATGTATCTCTGAAGAAATATGAGTGTAAATCTCAAATCTGTCAACAAAATGTTTTGTTCAAATCATCTATGTAAAACTTGTCTTATTTTCCGGTGTGTTCATTAATCAGCCAAATAATATTACTACATGATCTGAATTTTTTAAAAGTTGAACATGGGTCAGTCGGTCCTAAGAGATAGGAAACCTCTGTTCTGACCTCTCAATGAAAGAAGAGCTTTGTTCATTTGATTGTGCTCTTGCATCGCTTCGTGGGTGTTGTCTGAAAATAGACATGAGTGTGGCCAACATTGACACCCAGAGGAGACTGCTGGGCTCACCCTCCTCCTCCCCCTTATTTTTTTTTAAAAAAGTGCTCCTAACCTAGCAATATTGGGAGCTGAGTTCTACCACTACTGTTCAGTTCATTTAGGCCTGTGGTCCTGTCTGGGACATATACCCCCAACAAGAACTCTCCATGAACCCCGATCCTGGGCCAGTTTTTCTCCAGCTGTCCCCATGTAACCCCCACTTTTTTGTATTCCTTACCACCTCTCGGCGCCAAGTGTGTTCTTTGTCGGCCTCTCTTCCTTTTCCCTTGTGGATTCCAGCTTTGGGCTTGCTGTGTGATGCTAGGTGCTGGCTTTCAGAACGTGTGACAGATCCTTCTTCTAGATCATTTAAGGGTACTTCTTCCATAGGTCACCGGGGTCTTTTTGTTCATCCCAACGCTTATTGCGTCTTGTTCAGAACTTCACAACACCTCACTTAGACATCTGGGTGTCATGATATTGTACTGTGCCGAAGAGAGAGAAAAAGCCATTCAACTGTTTGGTTAGTAACAATAACAAAAACAATAGTAACAACAATAACAGCAGCAACAACAACCACAGCAGTAGAAACAACAATAACAGCAACAACAACAACAATGGCTGCAACAACAGCAGAAATGAAAATAGCGACGACAAACAGTTTCTTGGATATTGTGAGCCTGATGTCAGCGACAAAGTTCAGAGTTCAGGCTGTCTACATCGTCAGGTCATAGCACGGAGCAGATACTGCAAACTTTTTTGGAAATCAAAAATGTTGTTGAGAGTCTGAACTTTCAAGGGCTGTATGCTGTTGCCTGAACACGGAAACCTCGTTTACACCCTGTGATTGGAAATATGTGGTTTGAAAATTTTATTTTGTTTTGTTTGTGTGATGTTCTGTGGAGACTGTTTGATAAAATTCTAGGTCTGATGCAAGTCCAGATGTGGTGCAAGTCTGTGTGCTCCGGAGGAAAAGAATGAAATGTTTGTTCGAATGTCTAATTTTCTGATTGAGAGGAAGACCACGTAGAACCTGGAGAAGAGTCACAGGGAATGGTGTACAGATTTGTACAGAAAAATGAGAATACAGGAAATGATATCAAGTGAGAAAGTGTTTGTTTGAGGTCTATACCCTGATGCAGGATAATAAAGACTGTGATAATGAGAGTGATGATGAGAATGATGATGGTGGTGGGTGAATTTGGACCCATAGATTTAATAAATGTGGAATGTGTTAAGTTTTTTTTCAAAATGCTCTTGATGAGCTGGGGCAGGTCTGTAAAAATGTTTCAGGGACTATACCTCTTGTTTAGCAGTTTTCTGTGTGTTCTTTTTTAAGTGAGATGATGAATAAAATTATGTTTGTGGTGAATAGAAAGCAACCTCTGATCTAAATCAGTTGATAAGTGTGAGTGTAAGTTCTTTTTGTTGGATGAGTGCTATGTTGGATTATGTATGTGTTTACTAGATTGATGAGAGTTCATTTTAACAGAGACACTCTGTTTGAAGGTATAATGTAGTAGTTACAAACAAGTTCTATTTCTTGAATGAGTGTCATTAATCTAAAGAGTGAGTGTATGGAGGTTCATGCTCATGTCTTTTGTATTGAGATGAAGGTATTGTAAAGCACCAAGAGTTGTACTGCCTTCTCAAGTGGGGCTGTAGGAGCGATCGGCATTATTTTTATTATTATTATTATTATGAGGTATGTGTTTGTTGATCTGAATAGAGTTCAGTGTAAATGGGACATCTAATTTATACATAAATCTTGTTACTGTTATGGTCTTTGTTGAATTCTTTCACATTTGATTTGAGACTTCAAAGCAATGAAAGTTTTTTTAGATTGATTTTGTTCTCCTGAGATCCTCTGTGTTTTCTTGAGGAAATCGTTGTGAAACTTTCTTACCACATTTTGCACAGTAGTTCTCTGTCTCTGTGTCTGAATCCCATTGTTTTACCACATGTGAATTGCGTACAGTAGCTTTTACCTGTAAACCATGTCCCATAGAATGTACATGTGAAGTGTGTGCCGTAGACTGTACATGTGTAACACGTCCAGTAGAATTATCTGTGAAATGTGTCTCATTGAATGTATGAGTGAAATTTTGTCTTGAAGATTGTACATTTGAAATTTGTTTTGTAGTTTGTACATGTGAAGCGCGTTGTGTGTCCCATAGACTGTACGTGTGACGTGTGTTGTGTGTCCCATAGACTGTACATGTGAAGTGTGTTGTGTGTCCCATAGACTGTCCGTGTGAAGTGTGTTGTGTGTCCCATAGACTGTATGTGTGACGTGTGTTGTGTGTCCCATAGACTGTACCTTTGAAGTGTGTTGTGTGTCCCATAGACTGTATGTGTGACGTGTGTTGTGTGTCCCATAGACTGTACATGTGAAGTGTGTTGTGTGTCCCATAGACTGTATGTGTGAAGTGTGTTGTGTGTCCCATAGACTGTACGTGTGAAGTGTGTTGTGTGTCCCATAGACTGTACGTGTGAAGTGTGTTGTGTGTCCCATAGACTACGTGTGTTGTGTGTCCCATAGACTGTACATATGACGTGTGTCCTAGTGCCATCTTGAGAGGCAGCAGCTGATTCAAAAACCCACAGTGATTCCTGAATATTTTCAACCTCACCATCATTGATAGACACCAAACTTGGTTATTCGTTTACCAAGTAGAAAGTATATATATATAGATCTAGTTAAGACAGTCAGAGATAACTAAAGTATTTTTTTTTTTGGTGGTTATTTCATGCGCACATTAAAGTATGAAGTACTATGTAAACTTCTATCATTTAAAAGTGAACGATGAAACGAAATGGGAAGAGAAATAGATCAGAGTATCTGCTGAAAGTTTTTTGGGAAGAAGATACCTCTCTTGTGTTGAAAAAAATACTAGGCATAGGATTACAGCTAAATTTGATATGCTTGGAAGGATATTTTTCCACAGCAGCATTTACATTTTGGCTACTTCCAAGCAGGCACTAAACCATCATGACACATTCTACTGGTAATGAATATTGTGTATAGGTTGGCTTTATTTTTTGGTGGAGGGCGAAACATGGCTTATCTTTTTGGTGCTTTGCTGTGATTAGGACAGGTCATTCTTAACTAGACTGTTATGATCCTAGATAGTATTGCTGTGGAGATTGGATGCTAGTCTATAACAATCCACGTTCGTTTGTCCAAATTTTGAGAGATTATGATTTTTACACCTGTTTAATGCTACAGTCAAGGCTTACAATTTTCTTGCCTTTCATGATTCTTGATAGGAACAACACAGCAAAAACTCATTTTGTTGTCTCTAACTTAAAAAAGTACCCAAACAGACCTAAATGGAATATTTATGGCACCGACGATATACAGTGAAACCTTGGTATGAGTATGCATGATCCAGAAAGAGTCAAAATACCAGACGGGACTGAAGGGTTCACAAAGTGAACGTTGCAGATGATTTTAGTATATTTTAAGCTATGTATGCTATACCCAGGTTTTACACTGTACTTTGATATTGAGCTTTGCGCATCGAGCAAGTCAAGCATTTTTTACCTGCCCAGATATTGTATTTATTATAAGTCTTGTAACTACACTATGTTAATTGTAACATGCGTTTATATATTTACTAGATATTTTATATCCTAACATCCACAAATCTATCTCACCATGGATGATGAGCCATTGCATAGAAATAGAAATATACTATATATATATACCTCAGTTATTTTTTCTGCTGTTTTCTATATATATGTTCATTTTTGTTGTAGCGGGTCTTTATAATTTTTTGGTTTTCGCTAACGAAAGCTGTCTGCTGGTTTTTGTGATTTCTTTTTTCTTTGTTTTTGGGGGGTTTTTTGTTCAAATTTTGTGTTTTGCAATTTTTTGTTGACTTAAACTAAAAAGTGAAGCATTACTTTAGGTTATCTATGAATTTCATCAGGAAAGTGCAACTCCATATAATTTTTGGAGCATATAGTGCAATACTTGAATAGTATTCTTGAACTTTAAAGTTCAATAATAAATGAGAGGTTGCAAATAGATAAGAAAGCATTTCCGAGCTGCAGCTAAGATCTCTGAGATGCTGCAACTGACATTCAGTCATTTTTCTGGGTGTTTAAATGAGAAACTGTGTCTTCATTGTATGAATGAGAAACTGTCTTCTGAATGTATTAATGAAAAACAATTTTCTGGGTGTATACATGAGAAACAATTTTATGAGTTTATGAACTGTTTATTGAATGCTTAGATGAAAAACTGCTCTGTCCACTTGTCTCTTTCCTATCAGGGACGGATGTTGGATGTTGTTTGTGTTGATCTCTCCTCAAAGATAACCTTACAGTGTTGAAAAGGGGCATTGGTTCCATGCATGCAAATTTTCAACCACTTTTTTTTTTAAAAGAAGTCGGCCCGTCTACCGACCAGACGCTGCATTATTGTTGTTGTCTTTTCTTGTTTTCCTCATTTGAATTTACCAACAACATTTTGACTCTTAGAAGTTGGCCCATTTACTGACTAGACGCTGCATTATTGGGTTTTTTTTCCATATTTTCTGTCAGATATCATAAACATCTGCTTTCCTGTACAACAAGTTACTTTTTGTATCGTCATGTATCACATCTCCATTCTTTTCGTTTCATGTTGGTGGGTGATACATGCTTGTAGTTTGAACCCTGTTTTTTTTATAATGAAAATGCTAATGTATGCATCTTTCCAACTTAACCTGCAGCAGCAACTAAAGGGAGAATAGGCCTTGGACCTGTAAAAATCAAGTCATTGTGCTCTTGACTCTCAGCCCATGGCGTCTTGTTCACCATGTTAGGTCTGTGCTTTTGCTTGTTTGGATATCGTTGGCGAGACGGCAAGCTGTTCAAATGTACTAACCCCATAAAGCCAAATTTTTTTCTGGAGAGAGAGAAAAAAAAGTTTCATTCCTTTGACAATTGTACTTACATTAGGAATCTTTTGTTGCTTTTTTAAACGTTCAGAATTTGCATTTTGACAAAATATTTCTTAAGCACATACAACTGGTACAAATATAAAAAGCAAACAATGGACGATTAACAATTGTGACTTGTGACTGTAACGTGGGCTGTCAAGTGGTTAAGAAACTGCAAGGGAAAAACATTCCTAATTTTGGGCTTAGTGCATCTGAACAGCTGGCTGACAATACATTTTTTCTGTTCTTACGTCCACATTTTGTCTCCACGTTGCCTCTGACTCTAGCAATATCTACGATGTACCTTTACCGATCCCGCGGCAGGGAGTGTATCATTTAGCTGCCCATTGTCTCATCTCACAAATGTATTCAAAGCAAAAGTTATGATGTTTGTGATACGTTGTACTGGCAGGTTTTTCTGTTATGCCTAATGGTTTACTGACTGCACTGTTGGAAAGTTCAAAGTTCACCTATTGTTATAGAATTATGCTGTGTTGTGTTTAGAAGAATGGCTTGTTGTCATAATGATTTCATCTCATTTTTGTGTAAGTTTTCATTATGTAATGCAAGAAATTGTAAAGCTTGTTTTATATTTTCCAGTGGGAGAGGGAGGGAGGGAGGAAAGGGGAAG